ATTTGGACATCTATATTTACATCATCAATTTTTCATTCTGTCTTTCTCCCCCTCCACACATGCTCTTTCCTCCCTCATTTCCCCCTCCTCACCTTAAGCCTCATCTCTGGTACTAAAGTTAGAAAATGTGAATAAATATGCTTATCTACCTTGGATATTCTTGCAGTCACTTATTCACTGAAGATAACACATCCGACACTACCATCTCTTAAACAAACTAACAGTAGGCAAGCTAAACAGCAGCAGCTGGTTATAAGCTAACATTATTCCAGCTAATGTAAGGCTCAAGTGTCTTGCAAATTACACTCTCCCTCTGATAAACAGCTTGATAACATTCTCACATAGTTATTCACCAAGTGTCCCTGTAAAACAATGTTTAATCTATTGTTTCACTAAGTTCAGCGAACAGTGGCAAGAACATCATGATTACGAACAGAAAACCCTGAACACGAGCTTCACTGACTCATCGACTCTTATTGGACTCCTTTCACAAAGTTTTGCAGCTTGTTCCAGAAACAAATAGACATGGGAAAGTGGTATATTGACAGCTGAGGTAGACAGCGAAGTGACAGGCTGCAGTGCCAGCTAGAGTTGTTTGTCCCACATCAGCCACTGTAGCTAGGTTTATACACTTGAATTGGGAGAGGTAAGAAAACACAATTCAATTGACTGCAATCTGAAATCTACTAATATGGTGAGATTTACACACTGTACCTTTAAAAAAATCAGAAAGAACTACATATATGTTAATAATGGTGCTGTGTACTTTTTGTGGCCTAATGAAATTACTCCGTGCACTCCATTGTACATCATTTCTGCGCTATCAGGGAAACAAATAGGGGTGACTATTACAGCTGCACAGAATAAAACAAGCTTTCACATCTGTAGCTCCAAAATGACATAAAATGACAGTCTTACAGACAAAGACTCAAATCTGTGCACTTTTTTCACCATCTTTGGAAAAGGCCACACTTCTAAAGCATTATGGTGATGTGGAAGATGAAAGTTAGACTTAAACAGGACTAAGGCAAGGAAAACTGCATGTGCACACACACACACACACACACACGCACACACGCACACACGCACAGTCATAATACAAGTAGGGATGTCCTGCAGGCTGCCATTTCTGGCTGTCATTCCATCTGAGCACTGAGGCAGAAGGACAGAGAGCGAAAGAGAGACAGGCGAGTAGAGAAGACAGGGTGGTGAAGGGTGGGGGTGGTGACACAATGAAGGCTCACAGGGAGACAGGAAGCAGACGGTGCAAATGAGGCTGGGGACTTTAATGAACTACGGCACAGTCAAAGCTGGCAGAAAAAGTGGAGGAAAAGAGAAGAGAGGGGAGGTGTAATTACCAACACATGTGTTTGCAGAGGTACACACAGAGCCAAACAAGCCAGCCCAACCTAATACCTCTAATGGTATTCTAGTAAAAATATTAAAATACTGGTAATGCCAAACTTTTACTGATTCTATTTAAAATGGTAATGGCATCATAACTAGCAGCAGATGACAAAAAAAGCAGGGTGAAAAACAAGGGCCACTAAAGGTATAGCAATGGTAACACAGGGAGATCACTCACTTTGTAAATACCCTGAAACCACTATTTTGTCTTCCTGGTTGTTTTCCACCACTGTGATTTGGCTAGCTACAGATTCCTAAAAACCTTCCTACATCTGTCAAGCAAAAAGTATTGGGCACCAATTTGGTATCACGTCAGCCTACAAAAGCTCATGCAAACATGCTAAGTATACAAGAAAATAGGTCAATTAATTACTTTGGGGTCATACACAGCCAGCACTAAGACCCCTACTGTTTCTGATGCTACACAGCTATTCTACATCACTGTCATCATCCTTGTGGTCACAGTAATGAGTATGTCTTAGTAGCAAGTCAGGGTCAGCTGTGGGTCAACCAGCAGGGGAGTGAGACCCTCACAGTAAACAACCATCACTCTTTGAGGCCAGTTATTCTTTAATCAGCCATGCAATCATTGTCATTCTTCAAGAGATGCTTCTGTCAAATTTGACACAATTAACCAGATATCTTAAAGGAGTATTAAGGAAAAACACATATTACTAATACAGCAGGTATTAGGATGTTAATCCATTTTAGATCAATAAATGTTGACAACTAGTATATTAACCAACAGGCTAGCTATACAATTTCCCCACCCCTAAAACTTTTTTCCATTTGTACCAGGAGAATGACTTCATCCAGCATAGAATGATTTTCCATGCAGCAGGAACGACAGAATAAAAAACATGCAGAAATAAGTGTATTGATATAAAACTGCTGTAACATAAATGTGAAGTATCTCAGTTACACAGTCAATTGGGTTAAAAACCCAATTGAAAAATTACAACTAATTTAAATCAACTCTACCTATTCTGCTAAGATGAGTGGCAAATTACCCAGCCACAGTTATGCCTTTTGGTTGCCGATGGCTACCAAAAACATCTGGTCAAGAGGCACCTTGCTAAGGGACATTTAACCAAATATTAGTGGGGACATTTGACACTGTGTGGATTAGAAAATATCAAAAATAAATTCTAACTTGAAATGTATGTTATCCAATCACCTCACGCTGGGAAAAGAACAGCTCAAAAAAATAATTAAAAGTCCAAAATTACCATAACAATTACGGATATGATGTGTGTATGTAAACTTATGACCACAACTCTAAATCCCAAAGTACGTGCAATACTGATACTGAACCAATCCTAGAGTTTTAACACTTTGGAACGAACCACTATTTAAGTATGGGCAGTTTTTGAAAATCTAGGAAAAGGATTCTGCAGGGCCAAAGAATGTTCAACTGAAGTTAAGAAGGGAAAGTCAGGAAAGGGATACATAATGTAAAACAAGGACCAAGGAGAATCAGATTGAGAGAGAAGGGAGCGAAGAGCAGCAAGAGCAGAATGTAGATTTAAATTCTGAAAAAAACAGACTGTATTTTAACATCTTTTTTTTCCCCATATCTTATTCATCAACTGTCCAAAGAAACCAGAGTGAGATATAGGACCAGATGATTCTGGAAAGATGTTATCTCTGGACGACAACAACCATTTTTCAATAACTAATGTCAAAACAACAGCTTTCTGTTCTTCTATAGTTCACACACTTGCAAATGCCTTTATTCCTCAAACCATACCAAGTTAAGGCAGACTCTTTACACATGTGCTGCGTACTCAAATGTGATTAATCACATTGAGTAATACAGGACATTCAGCTATCACCACATCAAACAGACATCCAAAGGTTCTTCTGTGTTGTGAAAAGTGTGAATGCCAAACAGCTGCAGCAAAAGAATGAACAAGAAAGGCATTATATCAAGAGGTAAAATTTAGCTGCTCTGGAGGTGCTCAAAAGAAAAACCGTCTGTCAGGAAAATAATCAAGTGGACATTAACTTACTAAACGCCTCGCTTTCACTGTTTCTGTTCTAAAAAGACGACAGAAAATGTAACATGATAGAAAAAATATGGGCTATTATACCAAAAGCACAACCTTTGAAGTGTGTGTGTGTATATGAACTCCAAGGTGCTCAGAAAAAAAAAAATTATACATAGACATTCACATATCACTTAAAGTCACTTTAGGCTGTGGTCCCACTTCTAACCCCAAGTCAACAAACACACATGGAACTCAGTAGAGAGTGAGCGAGATGGAGCAGGGAGAGGCCAGTGGTTATTATGCTTGGACACAGGTTCTGTGCTGTTATATTCTTAAGTTTGGACTGGGCCTGGTTACAGACACAACTTCAACCACAAAGCGTCTCTTTAATTGGACCAAAGCGTAACAAAGTCCAGATGGCTTTAATGGACAATATTCACTGGAGGACACATTCCTCTTAGTCTTACTCTGCATCTGTGTCCTGCTTTCTCGCTCACACATATAATGCTTTTTGTTTTTTATTCTTCTACACTTCTCATCACTGTTCTCCCCCACTGTTAATCTTATTCTGTACCAAGATCATAATAACTTAATAACTTATTAATCATCATAATACTATGGGGGTGGCTGTAGCTCAGGTGGCAGAGCAGGTCAGCCATTAATCAGAAGGTCGGTGGTTCGATCCCAGGCTGCCTCCTGGCTGCATGCCAAATATCCTTGGGCAAGATACTAACCCCATGTTTGCCTACTGGTGGTGGTCAGAGGGCCCGGTGGCACCAGTGTCCGGCAGCCTCGCCTCTGTCAGTGCGCCCCAGGGCAGCTGTGGCTACAATGTAGCTTGCCATCACCAGTGTGTGAATATGTGTGTGAATGGGTGAATGACTGAATGTAGTGTGAAGCGCTTTGGGGTCCTTAAGGACTAGAAAAGCGCTATACAAATGCAGGCCATTTACCATTTACCATAACAATTCCAGATCTTGCTGATACCTCCCCTCTTACTCCTCTTTCATAATGAAAGAGATTACATATTGGCAGTTAAGTTGTATAAACAAATCAAGGATATTTCAATGAATCACTTACTTAAAGGTTTTTTTAATATTTTGGTCCTAAAAAATCCTTGGGTGTTTTCTAAGAGTAGGAACCATGAGTGCAGTTAGCCTTGGCTTAGCCGAGCAGTATGGCATGTTTTTTGCAAACACCATAGAGAGGAAAGACAACAGACAAAGTTAACTTTAAAAATAGTCAGAACAAATACAGTTGCAAATATGTATTAAACTTTGAATTATTTCAGCACCAGTTCAATTCAATTTGTTTCTGGTGTTACACAGATTCATAAAGCTTGAGCTTCACTTACTACTATGTAATTTTCCTTTCAGAAAAAAACACATATCTTGCAAACCATCCAAAAATATCTAAAGGTCCACAGTTTACAGCCTTCTGTTACTGTTTAAGATGCAAATCTTGCAAACCCAAGAAACATTAAACTGTGCAATAGAAGTCAGCCCTCTGGAGAGTCATCTATCAGCCATCTTTTATAAGCATTTATTTCTACTCAGGATAATAAATAATTTACGAACTATTCCAAAGTATAGTGGACCTTACCAATAGGACACATCCAGCGGGTGAAAATACCGCCGGGAGATGAGGTCAGCGAAGAAGGACTCTGTTTCCCGACATGCTGTCCCATTGCCAATGACAACCCTACTACAGCTAATATGGACAAGATGAAGAGGAGAAAACTGAAGATTAAGAAAAAAAACATCAACCTCTGAAAAACTGCAACTGGGTTTTGAGTTCCCTCCAGATTTTAATAATATACAGTTCAGTGGACTTTATAACACCAAGAAAGCAGACAAATACACAATCTGCACAGAAATACTATGATTAACAGTGACTCTTTAGTTGTAATACCTGTATTTGGTCATAAGGTGGCGTAATTTCTCTGCTTCCCTTGGTTGGTTTGAATTATGCAGGTACACAACATCAGTTTGGAGAATCTGACCTTGGACAGATAAAAGTAGCAAGAGAGAGAGAGAGAGAGAGAGAGAAATTACAATATTGCTGATATGTCACTATGATGACAAGAGGAATTTAACAGACAAAGATGTATGCTATAACGTAATGTCTCTTCCCTCTAAGTTGAGTACACAACCTATAATCCATCCAAGCTGCGCCAGAAAGTCAGTCACTTCACTGCTTCATTAAAAGAGAAGTTTAGATCTGAAGCTGTGAAATGATGTGAGCCAGGAGACACAAACCTGTGACCACACCACACGGTATTTTATACTATTTAAGTGTGCCAGCATGACTTTTGGCCACACAACTGGTAACCCAGAGGGTGGGGCAATCCCTTGCCAGTTTGAGGGCACAACCACTGAGTGACATGTCAAAAAAAAACAGTAAAATGGACACAGCACATACACATAGTTGTGTGCACACAAAAAAATAAACCCACCAGGTTCATGCCAGCTCTATCAAATCTAGTGGTGCCTGGTTACACGGCAACCTTTCAGAAAAAATCTTTGGCTTCATAATTTGCCCAGTAACAACTGGAAATGTGTGCCATTGCTATGTATATCCAGGTTTGAATTATCAATAGCAAAGGGAATTAAGCACAAGTGTCAGAAATCACAAGACACAAACGAGGGAAATAAAAATTCACTAGTCATAAATTTGAAAGGACACTTAAAAAGTGTGATAAAATACAGTTGGCAAAAGCAATGACGTGAATTTATACTTAGTTATTGTATTAAAATATGACAATGAATTGCATTAACTAAAAACAAACCATCTTGGCACAGCTGTTCTCCTGAGATACAATGCACTCAAAACTTTCAAAAGGTTTAGGGTAAAAGGGTAAAAATACAATTCCCTTTATAGTTAATGGACAAAGGTGCTCTTTGGAAAGGGCTACAATGATTACAATCACAAAAAGCCTTTAGAGATGCTTTTTGAGCAGCAAAAATGGATGTGGCTCATGGCTTTGTCTCCCAGTCAGATAACGACTCAAAAACATTTGTTGCTCTACATCCAGTAGACCGAAGTCCAGGACAAAGCCCTGATTTGAATCCCTGGGTAAATCTGTGGGATTCTCCGATTCTAAATTGCCTTTATATTTCCATCTTTCTTCAACATCAATGTGATTTCATCATATCTTTAGCAATAAAATGTATTTTTTGTATTATTTGTGTAGGTACATGAGTATGCTTTTTATACACTGACTTGCAAAACCAAGAGATAGCTGACAGTGAGTCCACTTTTGTACATTTTTGTGTTTACTTACTAGTAGGTGAGAGAATTGCCAGCTTGCAGCCATGTCTGAAGCCAGGGTCCACCCCCATGATGACACAGCCTCTCACTGGACACACCAACAGGCGCTGGCGGAGGTTGCGCACAAACATGGCGATTGACTCCTTCTCCGCTGCACTCGTCAGCTTAGTCCTAAAGAGAGAAAATGCAAGATAGAGACAAATAGATAAGTTAAAGAAGAGAATGACAACATCAACAAAAGAGAAACTGAGAAAGGATCAAAAAAGGATCATGGTGTAAATGGAAAAACTGATATTGGGTGAAAAAACACTTTAAAATCCAAAATCCACTTACCTGTAACTCCTGGTGAGGAAAGGAAGAATAAGCCTTTTATATGAATCCTCCACTGCATTCCTAATGATTGCATGAAGTTCTTCTTTTGCAAATGTCTTTGGCCTCCACCTGCATTAAAGCAGTGGGGGTAAAGAGTGTGTTCTTCTGCAAGGCGTTTCTACTGCTTAACGTATTTTGTCAAAGCAAATGTGCCTTTGCAAACTGACTCTTGTGCTCCCAAGAGATGCTTTGCAAATGTCATCAAAAACCCAATCTGTACAGAACCTTTTATTATAGTTTAAACCAGGTGGAGTGTTCTGCTTGTCATATTTGGTGGCACATAAGGAAACTACTCCTTTAATCATGAGAAATACGTCTTATCATTAGAGTAACATTTTGTTACCTTGCTTACAAGATGCCTAAGAATATATATTTAAAAATGGATAGCGTACTTTACAAATAGTACTTACAAACAACTGCTATTTGCTTCTTTTTCTATTTTACTGATTATTTAAATGGCTATTTCAGAGTGGCAAAAAACAGAATTAGCAAAAGTTGCTGTTACCTAGGAAAGTGCTGTGCTACTCATGCTTCCCAAAACTAATATTAAAAAAGAATACTAAGAAAATATTCAAAATTATGAGAATTGTTGCTAATAATAATTTCTCAATGTAAAATCTAATTTAGAGATACCTGAAGCATAAGTCAAAAATAATGAATGGATTGTATTCAATTTGGAGTATTAAAAAATATTAAATTTTCATTTTTGTCCTCTTGAAAAGCAATAATGACTCTCCAGCCATTTCTTAGTATTTCTATTACCGACTTCAGCCACAGGCAAAAACAGCCACAAAACATACAGCACTGGTATCATATGTTCAGTTTTGTGCCTTTTGTACAAAAATCTTAAAGTCAACAACAGATGCCACACTTTCTGCCTTCTACAGTTCCAGTTTTGTATTAAAATTTTTAACAAAACATCATATGATCATGGCAGACACATGTGTCAGTGAGTGTAACAGTGTTTGTGTATTACTTGTGTCTGACCTGTTGTTGATGCACCACCTAGTGAAGTCACTCTTCACCCTGTCGGGGATGTTCACCTTCACTGTCAAAATCTTGAGACTCTCCCCTCGGTTAATAGCCAGCGTCTGCACATATATGCACGCATGAATGCAATACATATATTTCCACCAGTTACCGCACAGACAGTTAAACAAGACTCGCTGTTGTCCCTAAAACCAGCATCCACTGAAATCATAAATATTCAGATTAATTTATGTGTGTATATGTGATATACTTCATTTGAAGTATGATAAATAGCAACGGCTAGCAGAAATATTTTAGAAAAATGTATATTTTATGTGTATATTTTGTTTTAAAACACATAAGGCTCTGTCGCTTTAGTGCATGAACACGCTTTACTCACACAAACATACAAAAAAGAAAAAATCTTTGAAATCTCAATACACGTGCGCTAAAAGTGATGAGCCTAGGAGTATATCCCGTGGCCAGGCCTGTTTTGCTGTGCGGTCGTTCCCCCCTCAGAGGAACTGTTACATGCTGTTAAGCAAACAGTAGTAAGTGTCTGACCTTTTCAGTGGGGAACCTTTAGCCTGCCATAGAACAGGGCCAAGAAACAAGACGTCAATCTGGAGCCCAAGCGGAAGAAGCAAGCTGACAAATGCCACCACCATGCCACCATCAGCACTGAGACCGCAAGGCCTTCCCCCCACCCGCACCCACACAGTGCCACAACCATTACCACTCAGCAGCACCCTCGGAAGGGATGCGCCCATGTTCAACACACACACAAATAAAAACATAAAACACAGCTAATGGCATGGCAGAGACACGGATTAATGCAGCAAGTTTCCTTAAATAATGATGAAAGTTAAGATTTCTCCTGTGTTGACATGTTTCTCCCCAGAGCTGCCTCGCGGACTATGAAGAGATTTCTCAAAGAATCTTTATCAAAGAACTAAAGTTTAAGAGGTAGTCTAAAATAAAAAATAAAAAAGGCAAAACACTTCCTTATCTTGGAATTTAGGAAAGCCCATGAGTGAAATTAAAGCAGTAAATACAAAACAAAGCCTTGTTAAATCTGCGCTCTTGGGCTTTAATTATTTTGGGTAATTAAGAATGACATATACTTTTATAGTGTTATTCATACGACACTGTCTAGCATCAACGTGTGTATCATCAACTAGAAATAAGAAAATATTAATAAAGTTTTCAGAAATTCAAGAATTCATAACACTTTAAGTAAATAGAAGCTGCACAGATAAACATAACAGTCTATCTATATACACAACACTATAATGTATGATAAAGATATAATTCAAATATGTATTTCTTATAAACAACTGCAAAAATGCACAACTGTACCAGAATTTTAGCTGCTGCTTCTAAGGTTTTATTGATATCACAACCTAAATGGAGAAAAAAAAGAAATCTCTCCACAGTGTAGTGGTTTACACATTCAACAGATCACCAGTTCAATTCCAGGAGAAGACACAAATTCCTTTGGTATTGCATCAGGAAGGGTATTCGGTGTAAACCCTTCGAAATCAAACATGCAGAGATACGTGCTGTGGCAAGCCTTGGTGAATAAGGGAGCAGCTGAAAGTAGCTTTCTGGAAAACAAACAAACACTAAATTCATCTTCCTTGTTGCTGGTATGTATTCCAAATTCAGCTATGGTGCCAACAAAAGTAAAAGATCTAAGTTCATCCAACAGCAATTTTTGTTCATGCTCAGGTTTTTTCTATAGCAGATGACGGTCCTCAGTGATGATAAACACCAGTGTCTGGTGCTTCTCTCACTTTCTATCTGAGTTGGGTCACTGATGGGACACACAGGGTGATCTGGAAGGAAGGGTGATGTGAGACAGAGTAAGAACTGTGTTTGTGTTTTAGATGGGCCCAGAGTGACAGGTAACCAAGTAGTGGCCAAACCCTGACAAGAGCAGACAGACCGTCTCTTCTAGATGCCCCTTATTCCTCCCACCAGCCCTGAAGGGAGGGCAGTCAGCCAACAACTATACTCTGTCTGTCTCCTTCTCTCTCTCACCCTTTCTTTAGAGGAATACTGTCATCAACACATCTATCCATCCGACATATCAAGGATAAACAAACAGACACACATATTCAGTGCCAACTTGCAGACTTTTTGACTTTGTTGACACACACAGGACACATTGTATATTAGTGACGAATGTGGTTGTATAACAGCTGAACAAAGCTGTCAGTAGAATGCTCAATATCCCTATATAAGTGAAGGCCAGTAGGATTAGAAATACAAAACTGGGCATATAATGGTCTGGATAAACAATAACCAGTAAAGTATATGGAATAATAAAACAAAAGTATCTTTACACAGTTTGATTTCATTTAAAAAATACGCTTTGTAAGGAACACACATGGAGTTTCCCATTCTCACTGTCGCACAGTGACGTGTTCTCACTACTGGTGATATGTCGCTTGGTTTAGGTAAAGGTAGCGAATAAATACATTAGGTTCAGAGCGTGAGGGAGGAAGGAGACAGGACACCTGATGTCCACTCGTAATCACTGATTACACAGACTTTGTACTACCCAGGTGGCAAAATAACATATTTTATATTTGACACATGAATCTGATTCAATATACCGCAAGTTGTACAAAGTTATAAAATCCTCAGAGCATCTCGGGCATTAAAACCATTACATAAACTCAAATATACCACATGTACAGTACACACACACACACACACAAACAAACAATTTTGCAGTACAAAATGTGAACATACAAATAATCTTGTTTTTCTCCGCCTGTCCATCAAAAACAAGTGTTTAATTGATAAAACAGTTCCATTTACCCAAGCTTCTCTGCAGGCAAGCCCCAGACTGGAGTGCTGAACTACCATTTGATCACAGCGCAAATCGCATTAAAAACAGCCCACTGCATGTTTAACAAATCTTCCCTGGCATACTCGAGAGCATAGCAGCTGCTAATAGCTATAAGGTAAACGTGTACCCTTCAAAGAAGGCCTCAAATCATGTTAGTCGGAATTAAATCTGAGCTAAAGAAGGCACAGCTTAGCCTGGTGTGTGGTGTGCTCTTACAAAACTGAGGAAGTTGGACAAGTGAAGAACAAAAGAAGTGGCAGGCGCAAAAAACTATCAGCAGATGAACAGTAACCGAAAGTCGTACCATTGGGGAACAGTAACAAGAGATTTTGAATGTCCTTCATGAAGCCTGGAGAACTATTCCTGGAGACTACATAAGTTTGCCTTAGAGAGTTCAGGCTGTGTTGAAGGATAAAATGATACCGACTTTTGAGCTTGTTGAAATTGTACAAATTCTGCTTTTGTCTTATATACGCTACAATAAATCACTGTACTTTTTCCCCCATTTTCACTCATAAGAAATCATAAGAAAAGTTGGATTTTTTGTGCCTGAAATCATTAGCTGATTAACAAGACAACAAAAAGTACTGAATTACTCATTTATTCCTATAATTTGTTTATATTTTCAGCCCTTTTTTCAAGAAAAGTTGAAAAATGCCAAACCAAAAAGTTTCAACTTCTAAAGTTCAGGAATGCACTCTTTTCCTTCACTTCATGTGGTCATAAAAATCAGTGACATGGATTTTAGAAGGCAGCATGAGAAAAATCATCCACCAAATCTGTTATTATGGATTCAGAATTAAACTGTCATTTCAAGCCCGTACTTTTGAATCAAGGTGAACACCTAATGTTCAGATGTTACCTTCTTGCTTAATTCTTTTCCTTAATGTATTTAACTTTGACGATGAATTAAAATGTACCAACACCAAAACCTAGAATCCCTTTTATGTGTTACTTCATTAAGGAGATTAAAATTCTGAAGATGTACTTTCCATGCTACCTAATTTTGTTTTCCACCACAGGAGATCTATACTTCCACACACCCTTAATACAATGCCTTGCACTTTATTTTTAACAAACTACCACAGCTGGGGCTTAATAAAAATGTGCTAAAGCAAACGGGCAAGTGTGTGCTCACACACATGCCTCCTGTCAAAACACATCTCCCACCTGCTCCCCCTAACTGCCAACTTGACGGCTAGAAAAGGTTCATATTAGCCGGAATCTGACAGCTCGCAGGGTCACAGCAGCCTGTGGATTAACGCTCCGTGACAAAGGCGAGTCATCGAATTAAAGGCCTTGCATAGAAAGGGGAGGAGAGGCGCAAAGCGGAGGTGATGAGTGGATTGGAGGGCTGACGTTTAGTCAGAAAAAGAGGGAGGCAGAGTAGAGCGAAGCAGGAGAGATAAGTGACGGAAGCACCTCAGCACCACTCATCTGTCCATGCTCTGCCTTCCCTTACTGCCCCCCACTCCTTCTCCCCGTCCTTTTGTCCGCCTGTGGGCCCAGCAGCAGTAGCTGTCACTACAGGAGAGCGCCTGTCAATCAAAGCTCCCTAATCCAATGGCATGTCGGCAGGGGACATGTCACATATGTTAAGAAGAGAAAATGAGGGGACTCACAGGGTGCGCTTGTGTGTGAGCAAGTGTGTGTATGCATGTGCGTATGCGATTAAATGACTGTAGGGCAGAGAGCGGTTGCCAGAGAGTGTGGTGTGGCAGAGACAGCAGATGATGGAAGCTGTGGTGACACATGAGGCCCGGGCCCAACTCTGAGTAACCCACCAGTCACTAGAGGGACAGAGGGGGAGCAGAGGATGTGGTGCAAGATGCAGGAGGGCTAAATATGAAGGCACAGACAAGGCTAACTGTGACTGACATGGCTAGCATTCAGAAGTGGCATGCATTAAGCAGACAGAAATGACACAAGCAGATGGTGTGCATTTGTTCATGTTTATGTGCATGCGTGTGTGTATTTGAGAACTAGGGTAGTCAAAACACACTCCACAGCTGTAAATGACCTTTATGATCATCAAGAAGACTTGACTTATTTGTTGCTTTTCAAGTTTATTTGTTTTGTATGTATTTTCTCTTATGGCTGGGTTATTACTTGTCTCATTAGTTATATCATAAAAGTAAAGGTGTTAGAAGGAGTAATTCCAGTCGAGGTAAAAAAAAAAATAGGCACAAGAAAAAGTGTGAGTCTCAGCAGCGTAAATGTATCTTACAAATAAAGCAAACTGTCATTCTTTTTGTTTGGTTTTCGCTGTGGAGCAATTTTAGCCACCCTTTTCCGCAGAATTGTTCAAATTGAGCTACACTGAAGGGTTTTTGAACATGAACAGCCTATTTAAGGTCACGCTAAAGCCTTTCAATTGGACTTAAGCTTGGACTTTGACTAGGCCATTCAAAACCTTTAATTTCTTTTTTTGTTTAAGCCATTCAGAGGTGGACTTTCAGGTATGTTTCAGATAACTGTCCCACTTTGTAACCCAAGTGTACTTGAATTTCAGGGCACAAACTGATGGCCAGATATTCAGGATTCAGAATTCATGGTTTCATCAAATACAAGTCACCCAGGTCCTCAAGAAGCAAAGTAGTCCCAGAACACCACATTTCTACCACTATGTATGCTTGTTGGCACAATATTCTTATTATGAAATGCAGTGTTAGTTTTATGTCAGATGTAAAAGGAGTCAAAACTCCCAAAAAGTTACATTTTTGTTTCGTCAGTCTACAGAATATTTTCCCAAATGTCTGTGAGATTATCGTTTATTTATTTATATAGCACATTTAATTACAAGACCAACGTTAACTAAAGTGCTGTACAAAAATACCAAATAACTAGTACCAAATAACTTATAATATTAGTACCAAACACCAAATACCTCTCATACTGTATTAAAAGCCAGTGAATACAAATGCGTTTTAAGATGAGATTAAAAAGACTGACAGTAGTTGCCTGTCTGATGCATAGGGGTAGATTATTCCACAGTTTAGGTGCTACGGACCCAAATGCTTGATCACCTCTGTGAACTAGCCTTGACCTTGGTATGGCTAAAAGCAAAAGCTCATTTGATCTAAGAGATCTAGAGGGCGCATATCGCTGCAAGAGGTCAGACAATTGCCCGGGAGCCTGTCCATTCAGGGGCTTGTAAGTCAACAATAACATTGTAAAATCAATTCTGAAGTGAACAGGGAGCCAGTGAAGAGAGGCAAGCACCGGCGAAATATGTTCACATCTTTTAGTTCATGCAGCTGCAGCATTTTGGACCAACTGCAGTCTTGCAAGGCAGGTCTGGCCAAGTCTAACATATAAGGAGTTACAATATTCCAGCTGGGATGTAATAACAGCATGGATTGCCCATTCAAAGTTTTTAAAAGACAAAAATGATTTCACCTTAAAAGCCTCAGTTTGAAAAAAGACCAATGTACAACTGAGCTAATCTGTTTTTCAAAGGTGAAATTGCTGTCAAATATAACCCACAAATTTTTGGCATGCAGCTTAATAAAAGACTCAAGACTGCGCAGGTTAAAATGAGAGGTGCTGGGATTGACACTTGGTCAAAAATTATCACTTCAGTTTTGTTGTCATTAAAGTTAAGGAAGTTAGAGGCCATCCGGGCTTTAATTTCACCGAGACACTGAACTAAGGGCTCCAGTGGAGCAGGACAACTTCTCTTCAGTTGAAGACAGATCCGAGTGTCATCGGCGTATGAATGGAAACAAATGTTATATTTTCAAAAAATTAGACCTATGGGCAGCATATAAATAGAGAATAAAATTGGCCCCAGTATAGATCTCTGGGGAACACCACAAGTAAGGGGAGCTGAAGAAGAGATAAAAGCTCCAAAGCTCACAGAGAAAGTCCTGTCAGATCGGTATGACCTGAACCACTCTAATGGAAGGCCCTTGATGCCGCAATGCTCCAATCGTGAGATCAAGATGCTGTGGTCAACAGTATCAAAGGCAGCTGTCAGATCCAAAAGCAAAAGCACAGCTGAGTCTCCTGAGTCAGGGACTAATAAAAGATTGTTAAGAACTTTTAAAAGTTCAGTTTCAGTATTGTGAATAGCTTTAAAACCAGACTGAAACCTCTCAAGAACATTGTGTCTATTTACAAAAGAACTAATACAATCTTTTCCAAGATTTTCAATTGGAAATAGGTCTGAAATTTGAACGGACACGTGTTGGGCAGGGATGCCAAACATCAAAAGTTCAAAACCTGAATGAGAGTCAGTTAAGAGTTGTTTGCATGCGAGCTTCTCCCTAAAAACAGCCGCCATTCCACCACCACGCCCAGTCATCCTCGGCACGTTAAGAATTAATATCAGCTTTCCTAAAAATGAGTTTAATCACAGTTAATTCACGATTTTATAATGGGGCCAATTACTTTTTCACATAGGTTTAGGTAGCATTTTTTCCCTTAATGAATAAAATCATCCTTTAAAAACTCTATTTTGTATTTACTCTTGTGAAATGTATGTAATATTAAAATGTTTTCTGAAAAAGGAAAATAGTATTAGTAATAGCACTATATATGCAGTGCATCAAAGCCAAAATAAAAATATCCCAAACTCTAAAATATTCAAAGGACTTGAACTGATTGTTTGTTTTTTTGGTGGCTTGGCAGGCAGTTATAGCTAAAATGTAAAGAGAAATGTTTATTACAAAAGCACTCGAGAAAGATTTTAAGCTTATAATCACACTCCAAATGGTTACGCTTCTGCTATAAAATGTATTTGCACAAAACTTTTAAGGTAGATTGCAGACAATTCTTAAAAGGATAATTAAACTTCCTACCTGATGGGGTTGGATACGTTGGATGTTACAGGTGAAGTCAAAGTAGAGTTGGAACTTGTCAATGTCCTTGTTTTTATTTTGCTCGGCGCCTGCTTTTGTTTTGTGGCCTTGGACAGGTTTCGCCTGTTCCTTTTCCTTTAATGCCGACTTAGACACAGACGACTGTATGCTTACAAAACTTTTCTCACATCTGGCACAAAAAAAGAAAGACATACAATATTAATAATTCATGAAGATACAAGAAAAATGAATTCGATTTTATGTGTATGTAGACAGACTCCTACAATGTCTTCACGTAGGTGAGTGTTTCAGGATCTTTGGCCATCATATCAGCCAATATGTGCTCCACACCTGTAGCCACTTCTTCCACTGATGACAGACCTGTCACACATATACACACATCAATAATGTACTTTAAATGAGTCAATAAATCTTTAAGAATTTAGAATGTGATTGTGTGTGTCTTCATCTGCATTGCATAACCATTTAAATCATTTGGTAATCATTGGCTGGTTCAAGCAATACACAAAACAGCGCAGACCATGACAAGAGTGTGCACATGTTTATCAGTTACCTTCAGTACCAGGTTTTATCCATGCCCTTAAATCTAGAGTGTGTGGTGTGTTCATCAATGCAGAAGCAGCGTCCTCAAGGCCAAGTGCTTTGGCCCTGCGAGCTTTTGTCAGCTTGCTGCCTTTCTTATAGGGGGAGTACTGCAGGCAAAAACACAAACACTGGACTGAGCTAGTTATTAGTGCTAGAGCCCTTTTCATGTGTGGAGAGTCAAGAATGAACTAATCTTATTACAGTTAATTGATGGATAACACTTTGGAATACAAATTTGATTCTGACCACATGATCCAGTTCATCAGCTGAACGGCAGTTCCTCAGGTTTTGTTCCAGTTCAGTTGTTAACACCCCATCTTTCTTCAGGGTCTGAACCACAGACTGAGTCCTCTTTGCCAAAGAACTGAAGAACAAATATACACATAGAAGAAAGGCAGATTATCAACTGTGCAGGACAAACACACAGAAATCAGAGAAATACAAATCAGCCACATGCAACTATTTCAGGCTTTAAAGCTTGACATATAGCACCATCTAGCTGCAGGACTCAGTATAGTCAGCTCATGTGGTTTCACAAATCTAATTCCAGTATTCTAAAATGCTCTTTCCATGCTTTTAACATATTGAGGGCATGAGTAGTGTAAGTAGTATAAGATCCATCCATCCATCCATCTTCTTCTGCTTATCCGGGGCCGGGTCACGGGAGCAGCAGCTCAAGCAGAGAAGCTCAGACCTCCCTCTTCCCAGCCACCTCCTCCAGCTTGTCTGGGGGAACACCCAGGCGTTCCCAGGCCAGCCGAGAGATATAATCTCCCGTGTCCTGGGTCTGCCCCGGGGCCTTCTCCTGGTGGGTCATGCCTGGAACACCTCACCCAGGAGGCCCCCAGGAGGCATCCTTGTCAGATGCCCAAACCACCTCAACTGGCCCCTTTCAATGTGGAGGAGCTGCGGCTCTACTCTAAGCCCCTCCCGAATGGCCGAATTTCTCACACCATCTCTAAGGGAGAGGCCAGCCACCCTTAGAGATAGGGTGAATCTGAATCTTATGAAAGTATAAGATTCATTTTTTTTTTTGTTTCATTGAACATCTTACATTCACTTACCATAACTCCTCATAAACCATCTGGACATCTCGAACAGCATCAGCATCCATGTGGTTAATCATGTCTTTCCTGTAGCGCACCATGAACGGCACAGTGTTCTCCTCACGAAGCAGCATAATGATGTTTGCACATACCCATCGCTCCACACATGTCAAGTGGGACAGCACCTGGGGGGGAATCACACACACAGGAATTGCAACTCTGCATCTACTCTACATGCATATATACACACACAGTTAAGCAGGTAGGCAGAAAGACACAAATTAACCTTCAGCAGAGAGCATTTGATTATATTTGATATGCAGAATTCTGGATCTTTGTGTGTATTAACTGATCACTGTTTTTTAAATATGTCAGTGTGCATTAAGAACGGCTACTTGTATACTTATGATTTTCAAACATCAGTAATGCAATACACTAAATTTGAAAAAGCAGTTGTGACTTTTTTAAAGTGGCATTTCTCTCCAGTAGCTTATCACCTAAACTGCATATGCGAATCGCTGTCACATAGCCTAATTTAATTCTTGAGTCATAACTTTATGCAAATGAAGGTAGAAATATGCTTTTTGGCCAGGTGGTGGTGGTCACCTTCAAACTGTTCGTTTATTAGAGCATTTATTTTCTGTCTGAAACTAAGTGAGGTGTCTTTTTACCACCTGACAAAAAACAAACAAAAAAAGAAACAATTCCCACATAATATATAAAAATACCTCTATCAAGTCCCAGTTCATATTGAGTTCATTCCTCAAAGACTGCGCTTCAGATGATGGTAAATTAGTCGGCCGTCCCATGCAGGCAGCACTGGTCTTTTGTTTCTTTAAACAGGGCTCATCAAAAGTAAAATCCTCCGCATCTACTTCCTCTTTCTTCACTCCAAGCCAAGCTTGTGAAGACCCCTCGTCTGCCCATCTGTCTCTCTGATAGGATTCTGACACAATAAATGACACCCTCTACAAGAAAAGAAGAGAAAGAAAGGAAAACAAGGAAAAGATGAAAGAAAATATAAAAATGCAAACACAAGACATTTAGAACATGGACATTTTCTGCAGACATCAACTCAGAATGTAAATATTGATGTGTAGTTCATTGTCCAGTTTTTAATATTATAAATACAGCCACAGTTTTGTGTAATTAATGGGTCACAAAAGTTAACTTATAATTACATTCTAATATGTTTCATTTGGCTGTAATTATAAACACTGAAAGTTTGCCTTACCTCTTCCTTCGTTCTGACACTTGTCCCGCTCTCTTCAGCCCTCGTTTCCTCTGGACAGTCAGTTTGAATTCCTCCTGTTTTTTCTCTATAATCATTATCCACTTTTTTCCTCTCCATTCCAGCCAACACTGAGGCTTCAGAATCCTTTAGACTTTTAGCAGCCTGTGTTTTTCGTCCTGCTGCAGGTTTACGTGGTGCCCTTAGCTTAGGTTCTTTAGGCACTTTGGGAGCTTTAGGTTCTTTGGGTGCTTTTGCCTCTTTTGGTTTTGCAGTTTTCTTGGCAGTTGTTTTCTTTTCACCAGTTGCAGTACCTCTAGCAGTTTTGTTGGGGGCTTTTGACTTTGGCTTCGGTGGCCTCCATTCCTCAGCATCCTCATCACTACTCACCGTTTGGGAAAAAGATCTGATGGTGGAGTAAAGAAAAAGAACAAAATCTGTCAATTATAACACCAGAACCAAACTTGAACCTTTCTAATAACTTTATAATGTTTTTCACAGGTGTTTAATGGATTGATAGTTAGTAACATGCAAGCAACCCGAACAATTAGTGACATATTTAACATTTAACACGTAATACCCCTTTCTAAGGCCTCACAAAGAAGGCCTTAAACTTCAAATGATCCAAAATACAACACCTGTTTTGTCACTATAACTAAAATAGAACAAATATAACTTTTAAAAGTGCTTCATTTTATAATTCATTTTATTTCCCTTAATGTCATTGTCTAGGAATCCGTTTCCTGATTGGTCCATTAAAGTTTAAAACACATTACACACAGTAACTATTAAAAAATAGATTAATACATGTTAAGTATGTATCTTATTAATAGAATTAATACTATTACAGATGATGGCTGTTGCAAAAAAGCTATCTGTAGCAATTTCGAAGACATTAGGGTTTAAGTGACCTTAGCCTGTGCCTGTCATGTCTTCCTATGTTTTTATCAGTTTTGATTGTTTTAAATGTATAGCACTTTGGTCAACAGTTTTTGTTTTAAATGTGCTATATGAATAAATTTGACTTTGACTTAGATTATCATAAAAGACTAGCTCTAGACTTGGTGAAACTTGTTTGTTGTCTGCATACCATCTTATCCACAAGATCCTGAAATTCTAGTACCTTAAAATTCCCAAAAGCAGAACATACAGAAATCCACCACTTTGTATTATTGACCATCACGTAAACAGCTTCGATTTAAACCACATAATGCATTTTTTTAAGCTTCAGTTTGTGAAGCTATGATGTAATTCACTTACTGCACACTAATTTATAACTCTCAAGGGCTTTTTCATTGAATAGAGAAATCTTTTAAAATACAGGATTTAACAAATGTTTTAAGCAACCTGTTATGAAAACAATGGAACATTATTTTCTGCTCCTGACCACAAATACTGTACGGCCCTACTGAGTGGGTGAAATGAACGAGTAAAAACCACTTACAGGTCGGAGTCCACATCTTTGTACTTTACAGCGTTGACAGTAGTCGCTCTGGGTCTTCGCATCATCTGTTAGAGGAGGTATTTTGGTAAGAAGCATTACATCAAATTTCATCGTTAAAATCATATCACATCGTGTAAAATTATCTGGCTTTAACAATAATAGTGCACTGTCAGTGCCGTTGGGCGAGAGTTACGTCGCTAAACAATACTCAGCCCATTGTATTCAACCATAAGACCATTTATTTTTGCTGAACTTGAATTGTACGTGTCTGCTAGCTAACAACAGAATCGGCGTTATGTTGGTTAGCTGTTTCAAATTTGCCGCTACATGATGAAGCAAGCAACGTTACTGACATAACGAAGCATTTTAATTCATGACACAATTTTTCCGCACGGCATAAAGCGTGACTACCTACTATACCTTTATACTGTTGATAATACTCAAACTATTTGTGGTTATTGCGCTGGAATAGCACTTTGTGCAGTACAACGACTGCTTCCTGCAACAAAATGGACTGAGCCAATCACAGCAACCAAAAGTCTTAAAGGGCCAAAGACTCTTCTTCCTTGTATTTGTTGTGGAAGGTGCACACTGCCACATACTGCAAAGGAGTGGTCAAACTCATTTTAGCTGAGGGGCCAAGTACAGCACAGCCTCAGTTTCGTGACTTGGGAATTTGTGAATTGTAAACGAGAGTATGTTTGCAGCTGGCTTTATGGCATATGTAATTGTAAGTTTCCCTTCCAGAAGGAGATTCGTTTGTCCTTTTTCACCTGTCCTGTCGGCAGCTTTTCCAATCTGAATTATCATCTGAATTTACTGTTGTGCCAAAACTATTCACTTTTCCAAAATTAGCTTAATAAATTCTCTGTATCTCTATCCTCTTGTTTGTGTTTACCTTTTTCTTTTATCTATTTACGTATTAATTTCCTTTTTTTTCTTTCTTTCTTTTTTTTTTTACAGTTTTTCTCCATCGCTTTGGCTCAGTTCTGACAGCAGAAAGGTCATTCTCGCTACTCTTAATGCAGAACTCAAATCTGTGACGCATATTCTCACTCATATAAGACATTCTCCTTGTTTTTACACACACTGCTATTGTGTCTACATTGTTTCTACTATTATTTCTACATATACCTCATATGCCTCACTACTATAGCTATTTGTTTCTGTGTTGATGCACTTCTCACTACTCACTTTTATGAATTCTGTATGGATGTCTGAATCCTCTGTATGTATGAATATGTATGAAAGAGCAAATACACTAACACTATGTCAGAGGTTTACTTGCAACCAATAGAAATGCATACTTGACATGGATTTGAACTGACATTTGGTGAATGTGGAGGCCATATGACTACGATGTTTTTCCAGTCTTCTATTGTCCAATTTTTGTGAGTCTGTGCAAACTATAGCCTCAGTTTCCTGTTCTTAGCTGACAGGACTGGCCTCCAGTTTGGTCATCTGTTGCTGTAGCCCATCTGCTTCAAGGTCAGATGTGCTTTCAGAGATGCTCTTTTGCATATCTTGCTTGTAACATCACTGTTGTCTTTCTAACAGCTTGAATTAGTCTGGCCATTTGTTTTCTGACCTCTGCATAAAGTTTTATCATTTTGCTTTTCTCCATTTCTGTAATTTTGTAAGTAAGTAAGTAAGTAAAATTTATTTATATAGCGCTTTTCACAGATAAAAAAAAATCACAAAGTGCTTTACAACACAGGAAATAGAAATATAAAACAATATAACAGAAAATAAAACAGCAAATAAAACAATGTAAAACAATAAAACTATAAAAACAGCATAAAAGGAAATTAATCATATGCTTTTCTAAATAAAAATGTCTTCAGCTGTTTTTTAAAAGAATCAGTGGAGTCCGTGCAGCGGAGAGACAGTGGAAGAGAATTCCACAACCGTGGTGCCACAGTCTGAAAGGCCCGATCACCACAAGTTTTAAAACGAGTGCGCGGTACCACCAGCAGTCTCTGATCCCATGACCTTAAAGCCCGAGAAGATGAATGTGGTTTCAGCAGGTCAGATAAATATTGACGAGCTTGACCATGTAGGGTCCTAAAGGTTAGAACTAAAATTTTAAAATGAAGCCTAAAATTTATAGTCAACCAGTTAAGGGAGGTCAAAACTGGAGTGATATGAGATCTTCTCTTGGTGCCTGTTAAGAGACGTGCTGCAGCATTCTGCACTGTCTGAAGACGATTTAAGGCAAAGTTGGGACAATGTTAATGACTTTCTTTTTCATCCACATTTGGATCACTTAAATCTACGACAGTCATTCAGGCAGTAATGCCTGGACTGGAAACAAACATCCTTAAAATATTACAACATACCAAGCTTCTGTGATTGAATGCAAAACAAATGTGCTGTTTGATCTAGAGCCTGCACTTGTGACTGAAGAATAAATACATTTTATTTTGATTATGTAAGTAATGTAACTTCCAAAACAAAGTTGTGGAAGGCCTAAACTTAGTTTTAGAACAATTAAATCTGAGACTTTGTTTCATTGTAAGATTATAACAATGATGGCAATATAATTGTTTGATGTTCAGCAGAACAGTGTCCAGTATGTTGGCTGTTATACTTTTTTGCATTTGAAAATAAAAGTTGGGCTGATTTTAATGCCATTACAAGAATTGTTGTTAATGGGTTTGTTTGTTTTTTTAAATCATACTTGCATACAGTGTTCTATTAATACAAGTGTTGTACTAGAAATTTCAAGGATGATAAAACATAATGTGAATTTATGAACCGCACCAAATCACAGACTTTTGTAAAGTTTTAAATAAATCCTTCTCATTTCATTGTGTTTTGAAACACTTAATATTAGGCCTATATTTTTGCTGTACTATTTTGAAAGTAAGTAAAAAAAAATAGCAATTTGATGTCTTAAAATGACAAATTTTGACAAATGTGAAAAAGATTTTGATTGTTGTAGTGTCTTTTGAACAGGTTAGTCTGTGTTATGAAAAATGCCTTAACCATTTTGACAGCTGCATTAAGAGTGGTGAAAATTGTTCCAAAATTATTGAGAACAACTGTAGGCTTATGGTTGTGATAGTTGCCACTAGTACTTCTTGTTTTTTAAAAGGGGAAGATGTTATCAGAACGAGTGTGTAATCAATACTTCACGTGGATGACTCAAAGTTATGAGCACACTGTCAAAACTCTGCCCTGAAATTCTTCACTCGGTGCTCAATGTGAGCGTTTAGAGGCCAGCCCACTTACTGAGTTTAAATAATACTGAGATTTTTATTAAACAGAGCAGAAATTAATTGAACTGAACTTTCCTTTTTCTCGGCTGTGTGCACGCAAGCAATTTGGTAAATGTACTAGTTCTTCTATAGCACTTGTGAGCACTACTTGAACACTCAAAGCACTTCATACAACATGCTTCCTTCACCCCTTCATGTTCTATATAACATTCACACTTGATGTAATGGAGAACAATCTGCAAATTGTTTAGTATCTTGTCCAAGGATTTTTGCAATGAGGACTGGAGCAGTCAGGGATCAACGTACCTACCTTCAGCTTGCTCTACTTTCTGAGCTACAGTCTGTTTTGAATTATAGTGAAATTGTCACGGTTCTGGGTCATTTTGACCCAGCTTTTTCTGTTTCTTATGTTTTGGTGTTTTTCTGGATTATGATTTATGTTCTGATTATTTAGAGATACTGTTTTGATTATTGTTATTATTGCAAGTTTAGTTCAGTGTCAAGTCTGTCTCACTCTGTCTAGTCCGTGTCTTAGTAAAGTGTCTTGTTTCCTGTTTTACTTTGAATGTTCACGTTCATGTCTGATGTCAGTGTGTTCAGTTTTACTTCTCCCCTGTCTCGTTAGCCTAATTTCTCCCAGCGGTGTCTCCCTCCTGTTTCCCATTGCCTGATTACTCCTCTGTGTATATAAGCCCTGTGTTTTCCTTTGCTCTCTGTTGCGTCGTACTCTCAGATTGTGCCTGTGTGTTTCTGTTTCCAGTTGTTCATTGTCAGTTCATGCTTTGTTTCATCACCAGCAATAAAGCTGAGGGGTTTTTTGAGTTGCAATTCAGTGTCCGAGTCCTGCATTTGGATCCTCATCTCCGCCTGCCCGCACACAGAGCCCTGACAGAAATGCCTGTTAACTGAAAATTGAAATTAAGCTATTGTTATATTATATTATATTATATTATATTATATATGTCTTAGGGTGATTTGCGTACATATACACATGTGGCACAATAACATGGTAACAGGGACACCGCGTGACCTGAGTGTAAATAACTTTTTGTGTTCCTCTATGCATTACACAGATCAGGAAAGCCCCAAGCAAGATGATACACATGAAACTATCTTCATCTTCTTCTTTTGGCTGCTCTCTTTAGTGGTTGCCACAGTAGTTGTCCTATTCCTAACATTATCCTCTGTCACATCAACCCTCCTTCATTCCACACATCTTCTATCTGGTTTTCCTACTTTTATGCTGCCTTGCACCAGCATCTTCAACATCCTTTGCCCAGTATATTCACTATGTGTCCATTCAGCCTTGTCCCTTTACATTTGTCTCTAAAGCACTCAACTTATACTTTCCTTCTGATGTACTGATTTCTAATTGTCCATCCAACTCACTCCCAATGAAAACTTTATCAACTTCAACTGTGCCACCTCTGGCTCAGGGTTCTGTCTTTTTGTCAGTGCTATCATTTCTAAACCACATCTCACTACCTTGTCTCTTGCAGCTTCTTACAGATCATTCCTGAAAAAAAGTGCATCAAAAAATAAACAAGGAAAATTATATAAACAACTACAATACTACTGCTGTACTATTGTATATTACAGGAAATTCCCACTATATATGGTTACAGTATATATGCGTATGTAATTAGTCACAACACACAGCTGTGATACCAGAATGAGAGCATGTGTTACTATAACCACTGAAAAAAGTAGGAAGTGATTTGCTAGCAAACACTAACACAAAGTAAAAGATATGTTGTATATAAGTTATAATACGTACAGATGAGAAATGCATAAACACAACAAAATGTTTTTAGTAGTGAAGTATGTGAAGCATATGAAGCATAATGATAAAAGACCAATGTAAGGACATAAAGAGTGGTTAGAGTGACATTTCTGATCGGAGAACTGTGTCAAAGCAATCAAGAAAAACTGTTTTTAAAAAAAATCCCCAGTATCACTTCCTGTTGCTCTGTTCAGCCTCAGATTTTTATCAATTTCTCATTTACATTTTTCCTCTGGTACATTCTTCTTCTGGTATAGTAAAATCTATACTCTGTATTCGTCTGCTTCTTGTGTTTTGTTCCCTTTGTTGCTGAAAAGTACTCTATTCCTCTTCCTCTTCACTGGGCTGACTTCATTTCCTGATAAATGTCCATCTGACCAGGCTCCTCTAAGTTTACAAATTGTTGTTGTGGAACTAATGTTGGTATAGTTGGTCTGACTCAAATTTTGGATGGAAGTCTTCAATACAATATGTGAAAAGATTCA